ATATATATCTAGCCCCAACAGGATCCTTCCCATGTCTTACCTGCCAATGAAGTTCAGTTCCTAATGTTTTTCTCAGATGCGGAGGATGCTCTTCAGCTGTAGGTGGCTGCTCAGGTTTCTGTGTACCTGGGCCCCTGTTACACTGCTGGGAGAACAGTAGCAAATAGTCAGTTGGCATTCTGGGCCTGCTTCACGATGACTTTGTGTTAACTATTCCAGGATGTCAGCATAATTTTAAAGAAGATGTGTGGGCTGGGGATTTAGCTCAGCGGTGCCACCACCTGCCTCGAAAGAGCAAAGTCCTGAGTTCAATCCCCAGCACCAAAAAAGAAAAGAACTGGGAAGGATGCTTCATTTTATCTTTGCAAGCCTTTTTTGAACAATTTTCTCCACTAGAGCAGGTCTTCCTCCTCCACCTGTGCCTGCAAACATTCTTTCCATCCTTCTCAGTCCACTGGAGGGGACTGTCCAACCTGGAAGCCTTCCTGTCCTGCTGTCTCCTGAAGAATCAGTGTCCATTTCCTGAACGCTTCTGGCCTTTTCTGTTCCCTTCTTTCAACGCTGACCCTAAGCCCTCCTCACATTTACGCTGTTTCCACACCAGCATATCCCTCACATGCTTCCTGGACCAACTATAAGCAGCTCGCTGTCTCACACGGCACCAGGACAGGGCCCAATCTGTGACACACGCATGCATTTGTGTACACAGATTCATCTGGGGGGAAATTATCCTATTTCCCAAAAGGATGAAAAAAAAAAAAAACCACTGAGAACAGAACACAACTCAGGGAAGAGCAAGAATGGAAGCAGAGCTGGCTGTCTCAAGGCACCTGGAATGTGTTGTTTACTACAACAGAGGGCTGAATTTATCTCTGGGTTTCCTGGCTGAAAGGGAAACGTGCTGGCTCCTGTGCTTCTCATTGTACAATGACTCTGGAATCGGAACGGAAAGAGCAATTTTTCCTGGCACCATGTTCAAGGAGAAACTTATCGAGTGGTCTTTACGTAACAAGCATGAGGTAACCCAAAGGAGCGGCATCTCTGCCGGGAGGTTGCAAAAGGCCACAGATGTCTTCTCAGGGGCAATTCCTGTGTCTGACTGCAGTTCAGAGAGAAGGGATTTCTGTACAGCAACAAGACCGCATGGCCCATTTCCAGAGCTTACTCTATGCTTGTGAAAGTCTTGAGAATCTGAAGGAAGGAAAAGTCACCATGAGTCTGTTTAATATGAGACCTCAAAGATCCCCTTGGGCCCTCCTGAAGGATCTTGGGAGCCAACTTGCAACCACATAGGCTGACAGAGCAGGGAGAAAGCAGGAAGCTGGGACTGGATCATATAGCACAAGCCAATGCCAGGTGGGCAGCACACACTGAGCAGGCAGGGCTGTGCCCACAGCAGCCAGTCCTGTCCCCCACCATGATGTCGGGAGACACATCAGTCCTGGGTAGCCTCAAAGGACACTAAAGAAATGTGATGGCCTCATGGCTGTCATGACAGGGAATGAAAAGGATCTGGGGGGTGACATGGTTAGTGACCATATCAACTGAATATTAACTCTACTAAGATGATGGTCAAGGCTGCCTGTTTCCTCCCTCAGGCAGGGCTGGGCCGAATGTGGACACCTTATTGTGTGACCTTCAGAGGCAGGAGAGGAAGGTGAGGGCTGCGAGCTCACCCAGCCCCTTCCTTCATCATCTTGACCCAAGGGCTCTGGTCTGTAGCTACTCCAGAGGAAACTCTTGTGACCCTCCTTCAGAGATGGCTGTTCTGTTTTGCCTCAGGGGAGCCCCTGCCTTCCAGCTTCCAATGCCCCAAGAGACCATTGTCTCTTCAGGGCAGCTGCAGAGATGCTGGGATCTGATTTCAGCTTGAGACATCCAACCAAAGAGAGCTGTCTTCTTACACTTCCCTCATATAGGTGTCTGCTGGGCCTGGCATCTTCTCTTGGAGAAAGGGTGGTATCTCAGTCTTTGTGATGCTAGTGAGACTTGCAACTCAGGTCCTGGGGTCACTGAGGCCACAGACCTTATGAGGTTGACAGACAGACTTCTGTTGTCCTTGTCTGTCAGTGCCGACGGGGGGCAAAACTAGAGAGAGAGAGAAAGAGACCAGAGGGAGAGCAACATCAAGGTCAGAGAGGGGGAAGCCAAGATTCCTGGGAGGAAAAGCACCTCTGATGTCCCTGTTCCATGTACCATTGCTCTGTAGTGGGCAGTTCTGGGTAGACACTTCGCAGCCCTGCCAGGACAGTTGTTTGAGGTACTTCCTAAGGGTTCTACTCAATGGCATCCAACTGATAAGACTAAAGGAAGATGCCCTGCAAAGGTAAGGTGCCAGAAATAGGGCACTGGAGCCACTGCATGGAGGAGGGTCACTTGAAGATGGAAATTTGGTGACTCTATACCCCTATAATGATGCCTCGACTGTACTTAACCATTATCACTGTCATCACTACTCACAACAATCATGGTAAGAACAGTGCTGTGTGTATTAATGGCCACAGAGTAAAGGATAGAAGTGTGATTTTTATTTTCCCAAAGGAAAATAGACCTTTCTGTCCCTCGGTACACCCAGATTGACGTGAAGTCAAAATCAGTTATTCTTCCCTCTGACCAAACATCAAGAGGCCCATGGGACTGACAGGTGTTCAGGACGGATGCTCCTCTGAAGTGGACACCTGTCTGTTGTTTCTTCCCATACTAAAGCCCTCCCTTCCTGAGGCCAGACCCCAGCTGCCTGCCCAGCTAACAGCCAAGCATGTTAGGCCCTGCATGGTGGACCACTCCTCAGTGGCTGCATTTGCTCCCAGGATGGCCCCCTGAGACCTTCCTCTGCACCCCAAGGGACCACACTGGCCCTCACCACATGCATCCCATGGGAAACTCTTTTCTTTGGATCCAGTGTCCTGCTTTCCACCTCCACCAGTATAAACCTCCTCTTTTCCCAGCATCTGGGGTTCAAGTCTTTTATCTAAAGTTGCATTACCTTCTTCCTCCCATTACATCAACCTCCAACGGCTGGATCTGGGCTAGTCCATCCTACTCGTCCTTCACATGGCCTAAATTTTCTTCCTTTTTCTTTTTGAGGTACGTGACATCAAACTCAGGACCTTGCACTTGCCAGGCAGGAGTCCTAAATTTTCAAAATGAAAGCTTTCCCTACAGGATAAGGGAGTAAACGAGGAAGTAACAGGAGGACCCCTAGTAGGGGAGTTGAATTCGACCTGAAGGTACAGGAGGAGGTCCGCATATTTACCCAACTCCCATCAGTCCCTGGTTGAAGAGGAGTTGAGGAGGTCACTGAGTCCCCAGCACTTCCAGCTACATGAAGGTGTGGGGGCAAAGTGGTCTCACACTGCTAGGAAAGCTCTCAGCAGGAAAGACATGGGTTCTGGGAGCTGGAAGTCTGGCCAGAGTGTGGGGAAAGTTAAGTGTTCTGGGGGAGCACAGAGAGCATCTCCAGCCCTGGGGAAGTCCAGGCGCTATGGCCACAAGCTTGTCACCATTGAAAGTATTTTCATTCTGTTAAAACATCCAAGGTGCCAGGGATTTAGCTCAGTAGTTCAGCCGCCTGCCTCACAAGTGCAAGGTACCAAAAAAAAAAAAAAAATCCAAGGCAGTAGGATAACTAATTAAATAAAGAAATATTAGATGCTTAACAACTCATCCCACTAAACATGGCTTCATCCAGCCCTTCACATGTGCCAGGTCTCCCATGTAGGGCAGATCTGCCCCTCTCAGGGCAGAAAGTCTACACTGGCAACCTGGGTTACTCGAGTCCCAGGTGAGGCAGTTCCTGAGAAGTCATCTACAACACCTGGTAATTGACCAGGAAGGCCAGGTCAGGCCAGAGAACCTTGAGTTCTGCCCTCTGTAGGTGGACAGAGGATGGTAGGAAAAGGCAGGATCAAAAAACAACAACAACAAAAAACAGAAAACAAGGGAGAGAGGGAGGAGGAAGAGAAATAAAGGAGGAAAGGCAGAATGGAAGACCAGCCAGACAAAAAAATCTGCACAATTTTCCCCTACATCTGGTTCCTCTGAGGGCCTGTACCTCTGCTTAGAGGGCTCTCACATACTGCACCAGGCATTTTATGCCAGCAACCTCTGAGGGGATCTCTTTGCTGATAAAGAAAGCAAAGTGTGAGCTATGAAGCAAATCTTTCAACTTCACAGATAATTTGTAACAAAGCCAACCCCGCCTTGCTCCTGGTGAGCCTGTAGACCTAAGCTACTGAAATATATTTCAGAAAAGATGGTAATTCCATCTCAAGGAAGTGTGTGTGTGTGTGTGTGTGTGTGTGTGTGTGTGTTTGTGTGTGTGTGTTTGAGGGTTTTTTGTTGTTCGCTTGTTTGGTTTTTTTTAGTAAGGACTACTAGCTTTGGGGAAGTCATCCAATGCAGGCTAAATTCTCTTCACTTTTTTGTCTTTGTTTTTTGATTCATTTTTTTCTTTTTCCCCTTCACTTACTCTCTGTCTCTTTGCCTAAGAAGTTTAGGCTTTCTGGGAAGCTTCGGTTAGGTTTCTGCTGTCCCATCCTCAGCTTATCTGGGCTCACAGAGCTATAATTACCAGGACACTGGCACTGGGCAGGGTGGAGGTAACAGAGTTCTGCAGGAGGGGCTGAAAAAGGATTGGCCTTGATCCAAGCAGCAGCCTGGTTCTAATTTTAGCAACAACAGAGCCTGGACTTCCTGGAGAGATCAGATGTCTGAGTCTCCCCGTTGTGCTGCCGCTGTTGCTGACACCAGACGTGTCGAAGAGATTCAGATCTGCTAAGAGATTCAGAATTGCTAATCCAGGTCACACCTCTGGGTCACCTGGCCCAGCCCCTGACTCAGAAAGTGAGGACACTCTTTCTGAGATCTCAGCAAACTCCTTGTAAAACTCCCCAAGATTGGAGCCGAAGTCAGGGTAGAGAGAGGAAAACAGGACCGGCAGAGTCTTCTGGAATCCAGGTCCTGGAGCTCCCCATGATGTCACCCTCCAAAATTGTTGGGGTAGGCCAGAAATAAACTACAGTATTTCCCAGGTTAATTACTGACCATTCAGAGATATTTCTAAATAATTTTCTCTACTAACTCTACCTTCAGTGAGGTAAAATTTATGTACTGTGACATGCATGAAACTCATGTACATAATTTGATGGATTTTGAAAACTATACCCACTCCCATCAAGATAAAGCACACCGCATCATCCCCAG